TGATATCATGAACAAGAGGGTCTGAAGACATACTTAACTGGACTTGCTTAAGGAAAGTTAAATCAACAATCAATGTTGATTTTATTGCTCGAAGATGAAATTATTTTGGCTTCAAGAGAACCGTTCTTTGTTGCTCAAAAGCTGCATCTCCTTCTTTTGGTGCAAGATAAGAACGTCTAAAAAAGGCATCGGATAAACCTTGTTGTTTTCTTAGCCGATAACTGATGATGAACTCGAATCTTGATAAAGACATGCTCCAACGAGCTTGGCGACGATTTAATACGTGTGCTGACATAAAATATTCGAGGTTCTTGTGATCCGTATACATGGTGACTGGATTAGAAGCGCCTTCTAGATAATGACACCATTCTTGAAAAGAATCCACAATTGCAAGAAGTTCTTTGTCGTGGATCTCATAATTGATTTCTGCTGTTGAGAATTTTCTTGAATGAAAGGCTACTGGATGGAGTTTGTCATCTGTTCCCATTTGTGATAAAACCGCACTCAAAGCAAAGTCTGATGCATCTGTTTCCATAAAGAATGCTTTGGAAAAATCAACACGATACAAGATTGGTGCAGAAACAAATGTTCTCTTCAAAGATTCAAAAGCAACTTCCGCTTCTTAATTCCATTGGAGTTTGTTTTTACAAGTCAAACGTGTAAGTGGAGCTGCAACTCGAGAGAAGTCTTTGATGAAGATCCGATAGTAGTTGGCAAATCTCAAAAAACATTGGACATCTCTTACCATTTTTGGGATCTTCCAGTCTATAATAGTTTGAACTTTCTTAGAATCCATCATAAGTCCATCATTTGAAATGATGTAACCTAAGAAATCGACTTGAGTAGTGTGGAATATACACTTTTCTATCTTGGCATAGAGTCTTGCATCTCTTAATTTTTGTAACACACGACGAACATGAAGTTCATGTTCTTTTAGATTCTTAGAATAGATCAAGATGTCATCTAGATAACATACCACAAAATCGTTCAAAAACTCTCGAAAAACATCATTCATTAGATGTTGAAAAGCTGCCGATGTATTTGTAAGTCTAAAAGGTATGACGTTGTATTCAAAATGTCCATACCTAGTTCGAAACGCAATCTTCCATTCATCTCCTTCTTTGATGCGTACTAGATTGTATGCTCGTCGAAGATCTATTTTTGTATAGATCTTAGCTTGATTCAGTTGATCAAGAAGTCCGGATATTAAAAGTAATGGATACCTGTTTTTGATGGTAATCTTGTTGAGTCCTCGATAATCAACACACATCCACAATGATCCATCTTTTTTCTTCACAAATAGAATTGGAGCTCTTGTCGGAGATTTAGAATGGCGTATGAAATTTTTGGCTAGATTTTCTTCAATATATTCCTTGAGTTCAGCCAACTCATTTTGTGATAAACTATAGATTGGTCCGAATGGCGGTTGTACTCCTTCTTGAAGGTCAATTGAGCAATCATAGGGACGATGTTCCGAGAGTGTATCCACATTTTTTTTTTCGAATACATCTTGAAATTCTTGATATTGGCTTGGAATGCCACTTGAAGTCTTTTCACTAGTAGAAACAGGTGTAGCATAAATAATGTATGTTGATTCTTTCATAGTAGCATGCAAGAAAGCTTTTGCACCTATAAATATGGGTTTAATTGAACTGGACTTATGACTCTCTACTTACTTAACTACACTATTAGTTATACTTTCAGAGAAAGTGAGAATTCGCGAAATCCAATCTATTTGAGGGTTGTATTTTTCTAACCACAATAAATCTAAAATGACTAGATTAGAAGGAGATCTAATGATATTAAATACTAAAAAACTATTATGACCATTGATTATTACTTCTATAGGAAGGGTTTCGTGAGTAATATCTCCAGAAGATAATAGACGACCATCTATGACTTCTACATGAGCAGGTTTAGTTTTCTTTACTAAAGATATGTTATGTCTTTTAGTAAATTCTTCATCTAAAAAACACGTTGAGGCTCTTGAATCTAACAAGACAAAGACTTTGTAATGTTTAGGTCCTAAAATAATATTTAATGTAAAACAAGGAGAGGGCTCTAAGGAGAGAATAAGACCTTTACTAGAAGTTGTGCAAGGTTCCAACCGCACGGTCCCTATTGTAGTTGGACAAACTCGTTTTCCAACATAGTATCTTTTTTCACAGCCATACTCCTCATTTTGTGATTGCATCATTTCTTTGGATAATATTGAGCAGTGTGCTTTGGTTCTCCACAATATAAACATAATCTTTCTTGACGACGACGAGTCTTTTCTTGCTCAATAAGAGGTTTGAAATGTACTGCATCAATTTGCATATCCTCTACTTCCGAATGTATGTGTTGAAGAGGTGTTGGTGTTGCCATTGAATTATATTAACGTTGAGGTCCACTTGTACGGTTCTCAGATCGGAATTCAAAAAGGTGATTGTCGCACTTCACAACAAAGTCAATTGCTTGACTCAATGTTTGAGGATCAGGTAAGTTGAGCATTAATTTTTTTACCTCATATTGTAATCTGTAGAAAAATTGGCTAATAAAGGCAGCATCATCCCACTTGATATCAGTTGCAAGTTGTCAAAATTGTGAAGCATATAACATTATTAATCGATTGTCTTGTCATAAAATACGGATCTTATTGGTTGCAACACAAATTGCATCATATTCTCCATACATGGATCGAAACTCCGCCAAAAAAGCCTCTAGATTATCCAGTATTGGATCTCGTCGTTCAAGAAAAGATAAAAACCACCATAGTGCCAAACCTGAAAGAAGCGTACCAATGAATCTAACTTGCGATCCTAGAGTTGGATAGCTTTGGGGTTGAAGTTCAATCACAAGTTGCACTTGATTGATAAATCCTCGAAACTTGGATCTGGTGCCATCAAACTTCTCGAGTAGGGCAATTCTTGGTTCTCTAACATTTGAAGGACGTTCCACCATAGGAGAAAGGACATGGTTTGGTGCAGATGTTGAAGCAACTCCAACCATTTCTATATCTTCACTTCCTACCAATCTTGTTGCTCCTTGTGGTGGTAAATTGAGTTGATGCATTGCAAGCATTAACTCCCTCAATTTCTCTTGCATTTGTGCCATTGCACTCTTCATTTCAAGAAGTTCTGCCATAATAATACTTAGAAGAGAGAAGATGTCTAATATCGCTCAAGACAAATAGAAGAGAGGACTTGCGGACAAAGAAAATACTAAGGACAATATCAGTTTACAAGAGGGTAATCCACAACTTCTAATACGCTTATATCTTATCAAGAAAAAGGGGTAATCCACTCTTAATCAAGATTAGACAAAGCTCTGATATTGTAGGTGTACTCTTGTCAATCTGTCAAAGACAAGAACTCGATGAAAAAACAATTCAGACAAGTGAGCCTTCACTCAAAGAGAGGTAACAAAATATATATAAACAAGTATATATATTGAAAGAGAAATTGGAATGGCTATTGCCAAAAGACAAGAAAACTAGAGATCCTTGAAACTAGACTAGAAGCAAGAAAGGAGTTGACAAGAGTGAAGAAGCCTTCACTCTTGTCTCTATATATACTATCTAACTAGGAGCTACGTGGCAACATTCTATAGGACCTCCAATATGTGTTGACTTTGTAGGACACATGCCTTGACTTACAAGGCAAGTTTTTGTACGTGTGGGCCACATAGTTAGCTTGATCTTCAAGCTAACAACATGTGTGGCACATGGCCAACTTGTTCACCACGTTTCTAATCCAAAAAATCAATTAAAGACACCTACGAAGTCAAAGCAGCATCTAAAAAGCTTCTAAGAAGCTTTCATATTAAATATTATAGAATTAACTTACTTTTACCTACTTTTACTTACTTCTACCTATTTGTATATGTAATTATTAGCTTACATGATTATAGCCGTGACATGTTGTGCCTTGATTAATTATTTGTCTTTGAAGTAGTAAAGCCAAAAGATCCTATGTTAAAGAATTTTTCTTCTTTATACTATATCTTAATAATCATAATTGTAGCAATGCAATTTTTTACGATAGTTATGATGACTAAAAAGACTTTGTCAATCTATGTACTAATTTGTTATAAAGAGTAGATCAATTCCATTAATATTGAGATTGATTTAATAATTTTTTATTTTTTATGATTACATGTCTATTATTAATAAATTTAAATTAAATTATAATTCAGAAAAATAAAATAAATATAAAAAATATCTAATTATTTATATTTTTATGTCAAATTTATCAATTGATTAATATTTTATGTTATGAAATAAAAATTCTATATTTGATTGTTTATATAATAATTTATTATTCTTATGAAATATATATATATATATATATATATATATATATATATATATATTAAAGTATATTTTATTATTTAATATATTATTATAAGTTAAAATCTATTTTATGAAATTTTAATATAGATATAATTTAAAATTTTGTTTAAATTTTAATATTCTTATACAATAATTGCTACAAAATGTGATACACATAATATTTGATACTTAATGAATTCAGGTATCAAGATATAAAAGCAGTATTTAGACTTCTTAACTTCTTTAATAAGTGATATTTCAAAATTTATTAAGAATATTTAGCAAGGTATGTAAGATTTCATATAATATTGCTATTACTATTACAACTTTTATCAATTATTTGACATATTTATTTTATATATTTAATCAAATATTTGAAAAGTTATGAAAAAAAAGAAAATTGATTGCCTTGACATATTTTGAACAAAGGTAGAAGGTTGGAAGGATGTGGTGGGAATAGCAAAAATAAATATTGTTGTAATCTTAAAATTATAAAATCTAATATGAATATGAGATATAGCATGATTCTTCAAAAAATTAGTAAAATATTTAAGAAGTAAATTTAGGAAATCAATTCAAGAAATCAATTTACATTAGAAATAATGATTCAAATATAAAAATCAATTAAAATTCTAAATTAAATTCTACTATTATTTTCTATTATAAAGATATATTATTACACACAAGATCATGATAAATTTTCAAATCATTAATATAATATTAAAACATATTTGTATCTTGAGTACCTAAAAAAATAAAGATTCATTGTGAATTATACCTAAAATAATAGAACCATTAAAACCCAAGTATATCATAGATATTAATGCACTAAAGATATCACTTCTAATATACATCTTTATAAAACTTCTAAGTAATAGATCTTGCAAAGATGAAAGATGCTTCTATTCTATATGTATGTCTTTCAACTTCTCATATTTCTCAAATCAAAATACCATTAAATTTGACATATTATCGAACTCAATATGAATCTTCTTTAAATTAGTGTAATCTTCAAAAAATAAATTTTGAAGAGATAAAAGATTAGCAAATCTATTATGTACTAACTCCATATTCATATAATTACTTAATTCCTATGTCATCAAAGATGTTAATATATTAAAGGTATCAATCACCTTTAATCTACATCTTTTTAAAACTACCAATTGACAATATTTAGAAAGATGAGAGATGCTTGAATCCCAAAGGCATATCTTCTAACTTTTCACATCCTTCAAATGTCAATAGATTCAAGTTGGTCATAGCATCAAATGTGGCATGGATCTTTTTCAAATTGGTGCAATCTTTAAGAAATAATCTCTCAAGACATACAAAATTAGTAAATCCATAATGTATTGTTTCCACTTTAATGCAACCACTTAAATCCAAGTAGATCAAAGATGTTAATGCATTAAAGGTATCATCTTCAATCTCCATCTTTTTACAACTTCTAAGTGATAATTTTTGCAAAGATGAAAGATGCTTCAATCCTATAGGCATATCTTCCAACATCTCACATCCTTCAAACCATAATATCTTTAAATTGGTCATACCATCAAATGTTGCATGAATCTTTTTTAAATTGGTACAATCTTTAAGAAATAATCTCTCAAGAAATACAAGATTAGCAAATCCATAATGTATTGTTTCCACTTTAATGCAACCACTTAAATCCAAGCAGTTCAAAGATGTTAATGTATTAAAGGTATCATCTTCAATCTCCATCTTTTTACAACTTCTAAGTGATAATTCTTGCAAAGATGAAAGATGCTTCAATCCTTTAGGCATATCTTCTAATATCTCACACCCTTCAAACCATAATATCTTTAAATTAGTCATACCATCAAATGTTGCATGAATCTTTTTCAAATTGTTACAATCTTGAAGAAATAATTTCTCAAGAGATACAAGATTAGCAAATCCATGATGTATTGTTTCCACTTTAATGCAACCACATAAATCCAAGTAGGTCAAAGATGTTAATGCATTGAAGGTATCACCTTTAATCTCCATTTTTTTACAACTTCTAAGTGATAATTCTTGCAAAGATGAAAGATGCTTCAATCCTATAGGCATATCTTCCAACATCTCACACCCTTCAAACCATAATATCTTTAAGTTGGTCATACCATCAAATGTTGCATGAATCTTCTTCAAATTGCTACAATCTTTAAGAAGTAATTTCTTAAGAGATACAAGATTAGCAAATTGCTTATTTACTTTGTATAAATTAAGGCAATTTGTCAAGTCTATTAAAATTAAAGATGATGCTAAATGTACTTTATCACCTATTTTTTCCATATCCTCACAATTTTGTAAATCCAAATACGTCAATGTTTTTATAGTAGAAAGTATATTTGTAACATCCTTTAACTTTGAACATCCTCTTAAATTAAGTGTATTTAAAATTGTGTATTTTTCTTTACAAATGTTTAAACTTATAAGTTGGAAACAGTAATTAAGACTCAAAGTTTTTAAAAACTTCATACTTGTTGCATCAAATGAAAATGATGTTAGACTTGTTAAGCCAATTATCTCTAATATGACAAGATTTTTTAGATAATTTTCGTGTATAAGATGTGAAACAATTTCAATATCATATTTTAATATTATTGTATTCTCTAATCCAAAGAAATAAAGTTTTAACCACTTAAGCTGATTAGATTGTTTTATAATTGAAGTTAACATGTTTGTATTTGTACATGCCATAAAACTCAATAAACAAAGATAAGGTAATTCAATCTTTATACTACCATATGGTTTCAAATGGCTTTGACAACTTGTAAAACAAATGCCTCTTATATTTGAATTATCCTGTAATATAAAACATATTTTATATGTTAGAATTTATAAAAAAATATTTTTTATACAAAATTTTAATTAAAAAATATAAGTATTCAAAAATATAAGATTATAAAACATACTATGCATCTCAAACTAAATGCCTCAATAAGTTTGAAGTCATACCTTTGATTCAAAATCAACAAATAATGTACAACTTTCATTCCATTTTCGAATTTCATTGCAATTTTTTCTAGAAATTTTACGTCCCATATCTCGTAGTAAGTCATGAATGGTTACCATTCCAAATATATCTACTTTAATAAATAATTTATCTTTTAAAGTTGTAATTATTTTTTTACAATTTTTAAATTTATCTTCATAAAATTGAAAAATTTCACCTTCATGAATGTCTTCAAGCCATGTATCTTTACAAAAAAAACATGTTAAATCCAAAAATATTATCTTTTCTTCTTCTCCAAGGTCATCAAAACTAGGCTTTAGTCTTGCCAAAAGGTCTTCACCATCTACATATATATTAGCTCTTTTTAGTCTATGCAAAGTTTGCTCCCATACACGAAGTCTTGTTTGTCCTTTTAAAGAAGAACCTACAAATTCTAAACTTAAAGAATGTCCATCACAAGCTTTGGATATTTCTGTAGAGAATTCATATAAATGTGGCATATAAAAGGGTCCATCTTTAAAAATATTCTCAAGAAGTATTTTCATACTTGTACTTTCATCAAGCGGACTCAATTCTATTTTTCCTGATTCACTTATAAATTTTTTTAATATATTCCATTCACGACTAATGACTATAAATTTACTTCTTGGTATACCTAACATTGCTATATCCACTACTTTCTTCATATCTTCATGTTTCAAAACATCATCAAAGATGATAAGAAGTCTTTTTTCTTGAAGCTTTTTAATTAATATTTGTTTTCCTTCTTCAAGATTCATAGCTTTGCATTTGTTGTCTAAAAATTGTAAAGTTTTACTTAACTCCATTAAATAGTCATTTTTTAGGTTCCATAGGATTGTACCATGTAAAAGAGTTGTATTTTCAAAAGAAAATTCTTTGGTATTATTATTTTTATTTGGTAAAAACATTGATTTGTTGGATAATTTTTTATCAATGTATTCTTTAAAAGCCTTCACCAATGTAGACTTGCCTATGCCAGCCATACCAACTATACCTACCATGTGGTTTTTAAGAAGTAGCTTTTCTAATTCCACAAATTTTGATTCAAGATTTGAATCTTTTTTCATTTTATGAAAATACTTGCTAATCTGCACATATAGATACAACAATAGAAACAATAAGTTCTTATATAAAAAAGTAATATATTTTATAATAATATTTTATTTTGTACATATTAATATGTTTATGGCAGCTTAAATTTTTAAAACTAATTGTATATAACTAATGCTGAAATTGCTTGCATCTATTTCTTTACAAAGGTTATGAACACTTACATTTGAATCATAAATATTTGATGAATCCTTAGATATATTTTTATACTTATTATTCATTTCATTGTTATTTGTGTGTTTGTATTTAGCAAATTTCTTACAAAAATTTATGGTCCAATCTTGTAATTTTCGCTTGAGATTCTTTGTAAATGAAATATTGTTGGATATCATCTTTTCATTCTTTGTAAGTTCATCTTCAAAAAATTGTTTCTTCACTTCCATCAAGCTCTTCACAATTTCTAGAAATGAAGGCCTTTTTGAAGGATTTTTTATATCCAAACATTCTTTGATCAACAATTGAAGTCTATGATTGAATTTATATAAGCTTTCTAATCTCTTCTTTACATAAATAGAAGAGTCTTTATAGTCCCATTCGTTTTCAATACTTGTCAAAATATCACAACAAAGAATGCCAAAACTAAAAACATCTGCTTTGAATGGATTCAATTGGTTTAGAGGATATCTTGCTTCAGGAGCCATGTAACGAGTTGTTTCATATATTCTTTGATTTGTGGGTTTTTCATCACCATTTACTTCAACTTTGGATATTCCAAAGTCTATCAATTTCACATGTATGTAACCAGTTTTTTTAATTTCTTCCATCTCAAGATTCATAATTACAACATTTTGAGGCTTTAAATCACGATGAGCCACCTTCATGTCATGAAGATAAAACATTGCATTAGCAATTTGAATCATTACATCAACTTTGTGTAGAAAAGACATTTGCAAATGATGATTTTCATATAATAATTTAGATAAGCTCATATCACCTTTTTCCATACCAATTATAATTTCTCCACGATGGTTTGAATGAATTTTACTAGCACAATAAAATACCTTGATAATATTTGGATGATTCAAACGTGATAAAATATGTGCTTCTTTTTCAAGTATATTTTTTGCTTCAATACTTCCAAAAGATATAATCTTTGTAATACTCTCAAAGTCCAACCATGTTGTCACATATACAACCATTCCCATGCTTTCTTGCAATTTTTGAGAATATTCTTTGTAATCTGGTTCAGGAAAATTTGTAGGAAAAGCCATAAACTCTTCTGCTCCACATTCAAACTTATGAATGCAAGATTGCCATTCTACTATATAGTTAATCAATTTGAAAGCATTAGAATTATTGGATACATTCTCAACAATATTGTTTAACTTTTGAAATAATAATCTTTCATCTTTTGCAACATCTTTTAAACCACATGGTTCGAATTTGTTGCACCCTTCAACCTCCATCTTTTGACATAATCTTCTTTCATCAAAAATTTCATAAATTATGTTGTAAAACCATTGTAATTCCAAGAGCAATTCCCTAAATGTCTCTTGACTAGATCTTTGCATCAATATCACTTTTCTCCAATCTCCTAAACAATTCTTTATCACCTTCTTTACTTTCACAATAATTCGAGACAAGTCCTCTAATATTGGTTGTAATTTATGCACATGTGCTCCAACTATAGCTTCAATTTCTTGCAAACCTTTTTTAAAGTTTTCCAATAAATTCTTGCATTGATTTGCATTGAATTGTTCATCTCCCATAACCTCAATGTTATTAAGCTCCAATTCCATAGCCTTTATTGTTGTTAAAATCTCCATATCCTTCAAAATATCCATGTCCATTACCCTACATAGACATCACACAATTGCTCTTGAGTTAGCTTGGTTCTTATAAAATTCAAAATACTTATGACATACAATGTTTTTTTTATTTGATCCACAAACTTGTAACTATTATAAAAGCTATATGATGGAAAGGGAGATAAATAATTCAAGTATCAACAATTCTCTTCCATTAATCTTAAGACATTATATTTCACTTAACAAATATCACTTAATTATTCTTTTTATTAAAAAACTAAGCAAAATCTACCATACTCTTCTTAACCAAAACTACAATTCATCAATCTACTAGCTATCAATCTCAAATTAAAATATCTTGACATATCATAAATAAAAATAACGTGTTATTTTTATACAATTCAAAATTCAAATTAGAAAAAGGAATAAAATTAAAAAAAACAAAGTGCTGCAACACAATTTTCATTAAAGAATGTCTACGATCTCATCCATACTCTAATATCTACAATCAAAGTTTAAGAGACTTTGTCAACACAAAAGAAAATAGCTACAATCCAAAAATTGAGTTTTGGGAATTGCACCTCCTCCTCCAAAGTAAGTTAGGTGATCCAAATTGCCACTTGATGCAGCACTCGATACTTAAATCGTTGCCAAAAATTTGACTTGTCCCCAATTTCGATGCCCGGAAGATAACATCAAACTGCTCTAAAACCTAAAACAAACTCCACCCCAAAATCCACTGATTCACGAGACTGATCGGACAAAATCGGGAGGCCTTCCAACAATGAACCGACTCACAACCAATGACATACTGCGATTACATTAGGCACTTGTACAGAACCCTACCAAATCTCTGGAGAACCGCTAACAAAGTTCACATCAAGGGGCTCAGAAGGCAGTAACCTCACTCACGCAGTTGTTCACGATATCCGAGTCACAATATTCAGCATGTGCTCTGTGTGTGTGGCTTCAAAGCTGCTGATCCAACGAGTGCGTCCGTAGTCCGACTAGAGAACCATGTGTGTCAGGGCTTCGGAACAAGACAAGAAGAACCACCAACGCCACAGCTCCTCCTGACTAGAGCTCAAAAACTTCCTGGCCCACTGCTCAGTTCTTGCCAATGCACCTGCTCAATCTTGTGATGAAAACCCGTCTACGCTAAACTTGCGTCAACAAACACACCCACAACATTCAGAACGGGGGGCTCCGCTATCCTCTCCTCTCATTGCTAGCTCTGCTCCTTCTCTCTGCCTCCTCACGCGAAACCCTCCTGGCAAATGAGCCCTCTCGAGTCACTGCTGCGGAAGTCTATGCCCCCACCTGCCGAGGAGCCTCACGCGGTATCATCCATATCATATACTGTGCCTTCATCGTATTTGTGGCAGTCATCCTCATCTTCGGGCAGGAGGAGATGCTGTTTGCTTAGTCCTCCAGCACCGGATGCCCCACCTCATAAATCTCTTCGACATTTTTATCCAATTAGATGCCCTTTCGAGGCATGTCTAGATCTGTACACGCGTAGTTCAGTTTTTTTAGAATGAATTATATATATATATATATATATATATTTGAATACCCCCGTTTCCCTTTTTTACTTGTATTGACTCTTAGGTTTGAGAATACACATGTATCATGTATTCTACGTTTTATTTTACATGTACCGGTGAATGTCACCACAGAATGAATGATTCTGTATACTAATCAAACCATTTGAATTCCCCTTTTATGGATGTTTTACAGTTAGTGGTAAAGAAAGCCAAACATGCATTCTGTTGTTCATGAGATTTGGGGTGGGTTTATCTTCTATGAAAACAGATCTGCAATTACATTATGCATTGTAGTGTGTATGTTTTTAAATCATATCTTTTTTGAACCGAGTAAATGCAATATATAAATCGAACTGTAGCAAAACCTTGTATGAAATTTACAACTCTGCAAATATTGTGTAAAATGAAATGGTATTTTAGAAGTCATGTATCTAAGTGTTGTGTATAAAGTGATTGTTATAAATATCACATTAATACTTTCAAAGCATTTAAGGAATATTATACACAAATTCTTCAAATATATATATATATATATATATATATATAATTCATTGTAAATGTAAATCTGCTTACTAAAAGAAAAAAAAAAAAGAAAAAAAGAAAAAATCGATATGTATGTTTTCACAATGTTTAGTGTTTTATTTTAAGAAAAAAATATTTTAATAAAAAAAATTATATATATGTGTATATAGTTTTACATATTGCAATTCCAAGAGCAATTTCCTAAATGTCTCTTGACTAGATCTTTGTATCAATATCACTTTTTATCAATCTCTTAAACAATTATTTATCACTCACTTTGCTTTTACAACAATTCAAGACAAGTCTTCTAATATTGGTTGCAATATGTGCTCATATACTCATATACTCCAACTATAGCTTCAATTTTTTGCTAGCCTTTTTTTAAAAAAAATCCAATAAATTCTTGTATTGATTTTTATTGAATTACTCATCTTCTATGACCTCAATATTATTAAGCTCTATTCCATAGTCTTAGTTGTTGTTAAAATTTCCAAGTCTTTCAAAGAATTCATGTCTAGTCTCTTGCATAAATATCACACAATTTCTCATAAGTTAAATTAGTTCTTGTAAAATTTAAAATACTTATAACATGTTCTTACATTTAATCTACACTTTTCTAACTTGTACCTATTATTAAAGCTACATGGTGGAATGTGAGAAAAAAATTCAAGTATCAACCATTTTCTTTCATCAATCATAAGATATTGCATTTTTACTTAAAATACAATATTAAACTATTTTTTTCATTAAAGATACTAAACAAAATCTACTATACTCTATTACACCATAACTACAATTCATCAATTTGCTAACTAATAATGTTAAATTAAAATATTTATTACATATCATAAATAAATAAAACTAAGTAGTTTTTATTATATTGGGAATTTAAATAAAAATATTAAATAAATATTATATTAAAATAAATTTATTAATGAATAAATATAATAATAAATATGATAATTTATTAATTGATTAAATAGTAAAAACAATTTGCTTCAATACAACTTTCATTACAAAATGTCTACAATCTCTTCTATACTTTAATATCTACAATTAAAGTTTAGTATTGTTACCTAGTATTTTACCAGTTATGATTTTCTTAAACTTGTTACCTAGTATTTTACCAGTTCATAACCCGGCCGGCCGGTGAGTTTATTAGGACGAAATCCAAATATTACAGCAAGCTCATCCAATTCTAACTCGTGTAAGTATTGTGGAAGATATGGGCACTAGAAAGGCACGTGCCTGAAAAGGCTTGTTGACATTCGCAAGTTAGAAGCAGACAGGCGCAATAAACTCCAGAGCAGAAGCAAACTTGGGTTTGCAAACTTTGTGCAGGAAGGGAGTACATAGAACCTTCCCGCATCAACTCACACACTTGCTGAAAACGTAGATCTTTCTGATCAAGAGGACGTTTTTGAGGCAGCCATTTCTGCACTAAATATACAAGACGATTACAGTGGATGACATCTCGATTCAGGTGCTAGGAAGCACGTAAGCGGCAGTAGGAATTCTTTTGATAGTCTAGACAAAATGCAAAGGAAATGTCAGGACAGCAGGAGGGCACAATCACGCCATTGCCAGTTGTAGACCTATAAAATTCACTTTGTCCTCTGGGAAAATAAAGAGCATATGTGACGTTTTGTATGTCCCAGACCCCAAGAAAAATCTCATTTCAGTGGGCTCTAAATCCGACGGAGGATGCATCGCCTGCTTTGACGAAAACAAGTGTATTTTATACAAGGGGTCGAAAAGTACTATTGCAGAACAAAATCAAAAAAATTAATTTGACAAGGGAAGTTGACATCCAAGCTAACATCACCACTTCTGCGGTGAACTTAGCACGGCTGTGGCATAAGCGCCTGGAGCGTGTCAATTTACAGACACTGCATCAGATGAGTCAGAGAAAACAGTCTCGGGTCTTCCTTACATTTCAGCCTGTAGCGAAGTGTGCAGAATTTGCCAGATGGGTAAACGATCCAGGGCCTCGTTTCCATCAGCTAGCCGAAGTAGAGCTAGCCAACTGTTGGAGCTTTTACATGTTGACCTGTAGGGACAACTCCTGACACAATCCTTGGGAGAATCGATGTATTTCTTAGCCATCATCGAAGACTATTCTCGCTTCATCTGGGTACATTTTCTACGCACAAAGTCTTAAGCATTCGAATGTTTCAGAAGCTTCAGATTCATGGTAGAATTGCAACTCAACAAACAAATTCATATAATGTGGTCAGACAGGGGCGGTGAGTTCTTAAGCAAAGAATTCACCGAGATATTCGCAGCCTCAGGAATAACTCGTCAACTCAATTACCACTGCAAAACAATAGTCGCGATCTGGATTCCCTGCCTCATGATTCCTCCCCAAATCTAGCTCTCTCGCCACCACATCGCGCGTCCACTGATCTACTGACTTCTTCAGATTTGACCCTGTCAACACCACACCGCGTGTCCACTGAGCCGTTGACCGCCCCAGATCCGACCATGTCGCTACCACATCACATGACCCCCAAACCATAAATCAACCGCACGCTCCCACAAAAAACGCGCCAGCCGTCCTCTAGACTATGCGACAGCCTATCTTACATCACGGAACATTCGGAGGATGTAGATATCATGAAAATCAACAGCTTCTACGGATTGGCACCAGAAATCACGGATCCACTCTCCTATGCCGAAGCTGAACGGCACGTAAGCTGGCGCTCAACGATGGAGGAGGAACGGCTCTCAATACATAAAAACAGGACCTGGAAAATCTGCGATCTTTCCAATGGTGCCAATCTTATCACTACCAAGTGAGTTTACAAAACTAAATTAGATTCAACCGGACAATCCACCAAGCTTAAAGCTGGGCTTGTTGCCAGAGAATACCAGCAAGTACCAGGTTTAGACTATTCTGAGATTTTCGCCCCTGTTGTGAAATGGAATTCTATTCAAACAGTGCTCTCTATGGCAGCCAGCAATCATTAGCCAATCTCCCATCTAGACATCAAGACGGCGTTTTTAAATGGAGACCTCAACGAACCTGTGTATATGAGTTTACCAGAAGGCTTCGAACAGCATGGTACACAAAAAGTGTGCAAGCTGCTAAAATCATTGTATGGTTTGAAACAAGCCCCAAGGGCTTGATTCGAAAAAATCGATGAATTCGTACAACCTCGCAAAATGACACGCACAGAGACAGACTACTCGCTATACTTCATTAGAGATAAAGTGGGGGTAGTTATCCTCATTCTTCATGTGGACAATCTCCTTCTAACAGGAGATAACCAAACAACACTGAACTGGCTAAACTCACAGCTCATAAACTGATTTGAAATGGCGGATCTAGGTCCTCTCCAATTCTGTCTTGGAGTCACATTCTTCATCAAAGAAAATGGTATCTCCTTCAACCAACAAAACTATATCGAAGCCATCCTAAGTGAGTTTGGAATGACTGAGTGTCACAGTACATCTGTGCCAATACCCGAAGGAATCAAGCTTCACAAGGAAGAATGGGCTGAAACCGTCGACAAAACAGTTTACTGCAGACTTGTTGGCAAGTTAATATATTTGCTCAACACTCGAGTGGACATCATGTTTGTTGTTTGCTCCATCAACCGCTTTATGCATGATCTACGAGTTCCTCACCTAGATGCCGCAAAGCACATTCTGCGCTACCTCAAAGGAACAATCGATCTTGGAATTACGTATCATGGAGGAAGTAGCAAAGCAATTATTGGTTTTATTGATGCAGACTGGGCAAACAACATTCATGATCACAAGTCCATCTTAGCATATGTGTTCAAATCTGCTGGTGGACCAATGACTTGGTCCTCAATGAAACAAACAATAGTGGCCACCTTCTCCACGGATGCAGAAACCAATGCCATTGCTGAGGGAATCAAAGAGGCAATCTGGCTTCGCACACGTACTCATCGAATTACAGGCAAGGAGCCCAAAACCATTATATTATACTGTGACAATCAAAGTTCATTAAAATCTGCTAAAGATCCAGTAAGTCATGCTCGATCAAAACATGTGGAGGTTTGGCAACACTTCATCCGTGAGAATGTACTAACTGGAGTGGTAAATCTAGTCTATCTTAAGTCACATGATCAGCTAGCAGACTTGCTAACTAAAGCTCTGGGGCGCATAAAGTTCCTCAAGGATCGTGATGGCATAGGAATCCTAAGATCGATTGACATTGCTGAAAGAAAAATCAAAGATAAGTGATCCTCTTCGAGAGAACCATAAGACACAGAATAAACTACCTCGTTAGGACTACCTAGCGAATTGCAATAATCCAGTTTAGACAGATCTTCAGCAATCAGAGTACCTAGATGTTCTATCTCAAACCCTAGTCTAGCAGTAAGTGACTCCCTTTTAGCATCAGCATCAGCGACAGCTTTCAGATACCCATGACGATCAACCCGCACCATCTCAAGAGCCTGACATTCGATAGTTCCAGCGACGAATGACTACCAAAATCTGTTAATCCTCCGAAATCGCCACAACAGAGACGGAGAAGCGGGAGAATTCAACTTCGGCCAGAGAAATTGCTCCACAATATAATCAGGAACAGGAGGAAGAAGATTTGATTCAGAATCACAAAAGGGGCGCAGATTCACTGATGAAGGTCGACGTTCATCAATGGATCGCAGAAGTCTGTCCCCAACTGCTGCTCCTAAACGATCAACAATTTGACGTAAAAGTAAAAACACCAACCAGAGTCGTAACAAGAACGACTCCCACTGCAAGAGAAGAAGAAAGATCAAACTCTTGAAACAAATCCAGTCACCTTGAGACTAATATATCATTGAAAATCACTCACCATTGAAAATATATTATTGAAAATCATTGAAAATCACTCACCACCGACAATTGGCTGCATATCTCTCGATCAAGAAACCCCACTGGGAAACGCCGCAGAGGACTATCTCGCTCACGACCTCGAGGATAACGTCAGATCGTCATCACAAACACTCGAAAGAAAGGACAATGCTAATAGAGTTGTAGAAAACCACAATCTAGACACATTGCTAAAAAGCATATTCTCTCCATTCGTACTTGGGACAGACTTATGAACCTCGGCCAGCTAGAGCTAGTCCGTCTTGCTGTCCGTGTTCAATTGGTCAGCTCCAGTTAAGGGAGGGTGTTAACAAAGTTAGCTTTTACCTCGAACTAGTTTCACCTGGAACTAATTACTGTTCACCTTGCTGTTACCGCAAAATCAGTAGTCAGTCCACGTATAAGACGTGCTCTTCTGATCCTCGATCACTCTCTTATTTTCTTATCAATATATGGCACAGTAATTCTATTTCATCACTTGACTCGTACCTCATGGAGGCAACATCGCCGTGTTTTAGCAGATTATTCCATGAGAATGCTCATCAAGGGAGGGGGTTGGACAGTTTTACCTACTCACATTGGCTCCCGTGTCAATCCAGCCCGTGTTCAATTGGTCAGCTGTCGGTGGAGTGAATTCTTACGCCACGGAAGAATTCTGAGATTGAGTCATTCGCTATCTTATTGATAAGGCTGCCAATGTGACTTCGCATCGGCTGAGACATACCGAATCCTACGTAGCTTCTTGCTTGGCTCAGGTATCCTCTTCGATAAACCACAGCCGTGAAATGAATGACGAGGATCGAGCACCAGGGCACCGAAATTACGTCACCAGTGTCGCTGCACCCGAAGAATCGGTCCCGTGCTAGGCCTGCTCAAATCGAGCAGCGACAGATGCATTCTTCGATTTGTTAAGGATGAGATTTCGGCCGCCGTGTGATGTGCCCGAGGAGATTGAAATCGTTGCCGACAAATTTTCCGGTGGCGCAGAGGGAATTTCGAAGGTCAAGGCCTCTTTTACTAGGAAGGATAGCTGGGTAAATCTGACCCTCACTCGATCCGGCATTATTTGTGGTCCACGTGCTCTGGGGAAGTGGTCAGGAAACAATAGCATACTTTTTCCCTTTTTAGTGAAAGTGTAATATATAATTTAAAAAAAAAAAAATCCATGATCTTTTTATTAGGGTATTATTGTTAAAGTAAGTAAATAAAAGTAGAATAAGTTACATAGTAAAAGGTATTATCTTAGGTAAGTTGCTAATGGTTAAAAGGTTGATTTTTGATGTATGGAAAAGGCATCTTATAGATATAAGACAAGATCAAGGACCAGGAATCAAAATCAAGAGGATAAAATATGAACTAAGGAATATCCAAAGATTAGGTAAGAGTAATTAGTGTTTACCATAGGATACCCTTGTGGTTACTAAGATGCCAAAATATCCAATAACCATAAGATACCCTCGAGGTACGTTAAATGCCAAAGAATCCTATGTCACGGCCATAATCATGTAAGCTAATAATTACATATAGAAATAGGTAGAAATAAGTAAAAGTAGATAAAAGTAAGTTAATTGTATAATATTTAATATAGAAGCTTCCTAGAAACTTCCTAGATGCTGCTTTGACTTCATAGGTGTCTTTAATTGACTTTTTGGATTAGAAACGTGGTCAACAAGTTGGCCATGTGCCACACATGTTGTTAGCTTGAAGATCAAGCTAACTATGTGGCCCACACGTAGAAAAACTTGCCTTGTAAGTCAAGGCATGTGTCCTACAAAGTCAACACATATTGGAGGTCCTATAGAACGTCGCCACGTAGCCCCTAGTTAGATAGTATATATAGAGACAAGAGTGAAGGCTTCTTCACTCTTGTCAACTTCTTTCTTGCTTCTAGTCTAGTTTCAAGGGTCTCTAGTTTTCTTGTATTTTGGCAATAGCCATTCCAGTTTCTTTCTTAATATACATATTTCTATTTTGTCCTATTTCTTTTTGAGAAAAGTCTCACTTACTCTTTAGCTTTCATCGAGTTCTTGTCCTTGACAGATTGACAAGAGTACACTTACAATATCAGAGCTTTGTTTTTTCTTGAGTAAGAGTGGATTACCCCTTTCTCTTGACAAGACATAAGCGTATTAGAAGTTTGTGGATTACCCACTTCTAAACTGATATTGTTCTTAGTATCTTCTTTGTTATCAAGTCTTTCTTTTCTTTTGTCTTGAGCAATATCAAACAAATTTTTCTTCTTAGTGTCATTATGGCAGAGCTTGTTGAAATGAAGAGTGCAATGGCACAAATGCAAGAGCAAATGAGGGAGTTAATGCTTGCGATGCATCAACTCAATTCACCAACACAGGAAAGAACAAGAATAGCAGAAAGTGGAGATATAGAGATGATCGGAGCTGCTTCAACATCTACAACAAATCACGTTCCTTCTCCAATTATACAACACCCTATAAGCACTAGAGAACCAAGAATTACCTTACCTGAGAAATTTGATGGTACGAGATCAAAGTTTCGAGGGTTCATCAATCAAGTACAATTGGCAATTGAACTTCAACCGCAAAGCTATCCAACTCCAGGATCACAAGTCAGGTTTATTGGCACTCTACTTTCTGGTTCTGCATTATCGTGGTTTTCGTCTTTTCTTGAACAACGAAATCCAATATTGGACAATTTGGAAGCTTTTTTGGCGGAGTTTCGATCTATGTATGGTGAACACGATGCAACTTGTGTTGCAACAAATAAGATCCGAATTCTGCAACAAGGAAATCGCTCAGTAACAATATATGCTTCACAATTTCGACAACTTGCAATTGACATCAAGTGGGATGATGCTGCACTCATCAGTCAATTTCTTTATGGATTGCAATACGAAGTAAAGAAATTGATGCTCAACTTACCTGATCCTCAAACTTTGAGTCAAGCAATCGATTTTGCGGTAAAATGTGATAATCGACTTTTTGAATTTCGATCTGAGAATCATTCACGGGAACCTCAACGTTATTACTCAATGGCAACATCAACATCTTTGCCAAACGTACATTCGGAAGTAGAAGACATGCAAATTGACGTGGTACGTTTTAAACCTCTAACTGAGCAAGAAAAGATTCGTCGTCGTCAAGAAGGATTATGTTTATATTGCGGAGAACCTAAGCACACTGCTCAACATTGTCCAAAGAAACGACGCAACTATAAAATGAGGGGTACGACGGTCAAAGAAGACAACATGTCGGAAAACGGATTCGTCCAGCTACAATAGGGACCGTGCAGCTGGAACCTTGTACAACTCCTAATGAAGGTCCTATCCTCTCCTCAGAACCCTCTCCTTGTTTTATAATAGACTTATATTTAGGACCTAAGAATTACAAAGCCTCTGCTTTATTAGATTCGGGAGCCTCAGCATGTTTTTTAGATGAACAATTTGTTAAAAGTCGTAAAATACCCTTTGTACAGAAACCTAAACCAGTACATGTAGAAGTCATAGATGGTCGTCCCTTGTCTTCTGGAGATGTCACTCATGAAACTCATCCTATAAAAGTAACAATAGACGGTCATGATAGCTATATAGCTTTTAACATAATTAAATCCCCATCCAATCCAGTTATTTTAGGTTTATCCTGGCTAGAAAAATATAACCCTCAAATAGATTGGAATTCGCGTAAACTTGACTTTTCCAAAAGCGTTATTAATAGTTCTACGAACCAAGTAAAAAATTATAAGTCTAGTACAGTAAAACCCGTACTGATAGGTGCAAAAGCATTTATACACGCAGCAAAAGAAGGATCAACTTTTGCTATTTATGCTACACCTATTTCTGAAAACGTAAAGACTTCAAGTGGCATTCCAAGTCAATATCAGGAGTATCAAGACGTTTTTGAGAAAAAGAATGCAGATATTCTTCTTGAGCATCGTCCATATGATTGTTCAATCGACCTCAAGGAAGGAACTCAGCCACCATTTGGACCAATTTACAGTTTATCGCAAGACGAGATGGCTGAACTCAAGACATATATTGACAAGAATTTAGCGAAGAATTTCATACGCCATTCAAAATATCCAGCAGGAGCTCCAATTCTATTCGTAAAGAAAAAAGATGGATCTTTACGAATGTGTGTTGATTATCGAGGACTCAACAAGATCACAATCAAGAACAGGTATCCATTACCTTTGATATCAGGACTCCTTGACCAGTTGAATCAAGCTAAGATCTATACAAAAATAGATCTAAGAGGAGCATATAATCTAGTACGGATCAAAGAAGGAGATGAATGGAAGACTGCGTTTCGAACCAGGTATGGACATTTCGAATATAATGTCATGCCCTTTGGACTCACAAATGCACCAGCTGCTTTTCAACATCTCATGAATGATGTATTTCGTGAATTCTTAGACAATTTTGTCGTCTGCTATCTAGACGATATCCTGATCTATTCCAAGAACGTCGAAGAACATGAAATACATGTTCGTCAAGTATTACAAAAACTTAGAGACGCAGGATTGTACGCCAAGATGGAAAAGTGTGTATTTCACACTACTCAAGTTGACTTTTTAGGATACATCATTTCAAATGATGGCCTCATGATGGATTCTAAGAAAGTCCAAACAATCGTGGATTGGAAGATTCCAAGGACGGTAAGAGATGTCCAATGTTTCTTGGGATTTGCCAATTACTATCGGATCTTCATCAAAGATTTCTCACGAGTTGCAGCTCCACTTACACGCTTGACTAGTAAAGATAAATTTCAATGGAATCAAGAAGCGGAAGCAGCATTTGAAGCCTTGAAGACATCGTTTGTCTCTGCACCAGTCTTATATCGTGTTGACTTTTCCAAGGCATTTTTTATGGAAACAGATGCATCAGATTTTGCCTTGGCTGCAGTTTTATCACAAATGGGAACAGATGACAAACTCCATCCGATAGCTTTTCATTCAAGAAAATTCTCAGCAGCCGAGATCAATTATGAGATCCACGATAAAGAACTTCTTGCGATCGTGGATTCCTTTCAAGAATGGCATCATTATCTAGAAGGCGCTTCTAGTCCAGTCACTGTGTATACAGATCACAAGAACCTCGAGTATTTCATGTCAGCACGCGTGTTGAATCGTCGTCAAGCTCGTTGGAGTATGTCTTTGTCAAGATTCGAGTTCATTATCACTTATCGGCCAGGAAAACAACAAGGTTTATCCGATGCCCTATCTAGACGTTCTTATTTTGCACCAA